TCCCATCTCCAAACCTGGAATTCCCATCCCAAACTGGGACCTTTCCCATTGGGATTTTGGGATCTGCAATTCCCAAACTGGGACCTTTCCCATTGGGATTTTGGGATCTGCAATTCCCACATTGGGACCTTTCCCATTGGGATTTTGGGATCTAAAATTCCCAAACTCAGAGAATTCATCCCTGGGACCTTTCCCATTGGGATTTTGGGATCTGCAATTCCCAAATTCAGGGAATTCATCCCTGGGACCTTTCCCAGCAGAATTTTGGGATCTGCAATTCCCAAACTGGGACCTTTCCCATTGGGATTTTGGGATCTGCAATTCCCAAACTGGGACCTTTCCCATTGGGATTTGGGATCTGCAATTCCCACATTGGGACCTTTCCCATGGGGATTTTGGGATCTACAATTCCCAAACTGGGACCTTTCCCATTGGGATTTTGGGACCTGCAATTCCCAAATTCAGGAATTCATCCCTGGGACCTTTCCCAGCAGAATTTTGGGACCTGCAATTCCCAAACTGGGACCTTTCCCATTGGGATTTTGGGTTCTACAATTCCCAAACTGGGACCTTTCCCTGTGGGATTTTGGGATCTACAATTCCCAAACTGGGACCTTTCCCATTGGGATTTTGGGATCTGCAATTCCCAAACTGGGACCTTTCCCTGTGGGATTTTGGGACCTGCAATTCCCAAACTGGGACCTTTCCCATCGGGATTTTGGGACCTGCAATTCCCAAACTGGGACCTTTCCCAGCAGAATTTTGGGACCTGCAATTCCCAAACTGGGACCTTTCCCATTGGGATTTTGGGATCTGCAATTCCCACACTGGGACCTTTCCCAGCAGAATTTTGGGATCTGCAGTCCCCAATCCCTGTGCTGATCCCTCCCATCCCTTTTCCCAGGAGAAGGAGAAGAAGTACATGCTGCCCCTGGACAACCTGAAGATCAGGGATGTGGAGAAAGGTTTCATGTCCACCAAACACGTCTTTGCCATCTTCAACACGGAGCAGAGGTGGGGGACGCCCCTGCCCCTGTCCTCTCCTGCTTTCCAGGGGATTTTTAAAATTTTTATTTTTTATTTTTTTATCCCTCCCGGATCCCACACGGGGGGTGGGGGGGGAGGGAAAAGGAAGGAGAGCAGCCGGGTGGGATTTGGGGGGGGAGTTTTCCTAAAGGATTTTGGGGTGTTTGGGATGGTCCGTGGGGGGGGCTGGAGGGGTCCCCAGCAGGTTCGGGGTGATCCCAGTGGGGTTTGGGGTGATCCCAGTAGGATTTGGGGTGTTTGGGGTGATTTCTGCAGGATTTTGAGGTGATCCCAGAGGGTTTTGGGGTGTTTGGGATGATTCCAGCAGGGTTTGGGGTGATCCCAGAGGGGTTTGGGATGATTCCAGAGAGGTTCAGGGTGATCCCAGCAGGGTTTGGGGTGTTTGGGATGATCCCAGTGGGGTTTGGGGTGATCCCAGCAGGGTTTGGGGTGTTTGGGGTGATTTCTGCAGGATTTTGAGGTGATCCCAGAGGATTTTGGGGTGATCCCAGCAGGGTTTTGGGGTGTCCCGAGCTCTGTCCACACTCAGATCCTGGGGGGATTTTTGGGGATTTTTTGGGGG